TGGTGGTGGTTGGCGGGGACCTCTGATGTCACGACGACCCCCTGCATGTGTCGTGCTCATTTTTTCTTCTCACCTTCCTAGAAGAGGCTGCAAACCCAACGGCCTTCAGTTTGCGCGCGTGCGTGCGAGGAGGAGGATAAGGAGGAGGAAGAGGAGGATCAGACAATGTCGAGCTCGGCCAAGGGGCACGCCGGCTCACGAGATGTTTGAGGCAAGTCTTCTCCAGAGCTCAGAACAGTTCGCGCCACAGCTCGTTGCAGCGCTATGCCAAGAAGCCCGACCTAGCGGTGTAATAGGCCCAAACACATTCCTTTCCGGAGCGCCTTGTGTACATCTCGCGTACGTTCCCGAGCAAGACATGGTAATAGTTTAACCGTTTGTGGTCCCAATCTGCCGTATAGCTCTGCTCAACGATTTATGGACCCCAGGCTACTATCCTGTAGTTTTTAGTACGTACTGTGATTGGCAATTTCGGCTTGCTCAATAGCCGCCCCCCGTAATTTTTTGTTCTGGATCTGCGGGCCCCATTCCCAGAAGTAGGAGACAGCACAGTCGCATCGCAAAACAAAGGTAATTCACCAGCAACATTCAAGCAAAGGGCCATCAAATAAAAAACAAACCAAAGGGCCACCAAGTTCTAGCAACATGCAACATCAAAACAATCAAATCAAAAAAAAATGAAACAACGCATGTCTGTTGGTGGGACCGGGATGTGGGTCGTGTGTAGTAGGCGTTCCACATTCCGGTCTGGGATGCACGATCCAGTTTCCACCTAAATTTGCCTCCATGCTGCCACGAATTCCTGGTGACGACCATGGGTACGGCCACCAAAAACTGAAGCCATGGGGGTCCAGTGTATCGTACGTACTTGTTATACCCAGACGATGCCGAATGATACCGAATGGCACATTGTGTGTCGGTCGACAGCATAAGCCCTGCACACGTTGGACACGCGAGAAGCCATACTGATTCAAAAGGCCCCATGCACGAAAACAACCGGGTTTTTCGAGCAGAAATCGCGTTTGCCCGTCGATTATGCCAGTTGCCGTATTATAAGGTTGGTGTGTGTAGATTTTTCGATTGGGTCAGAAGCGTAGAATTGCCAGCCATGTTTCCACTCACCCAATAAAAGGATCGTTACCATCCCCCTGCCGTTCGGGAGGCCGTGCACCTTCTGCTCAATCCGTCCATTATGATCGATCCCTCAATTTGTTTGTTTTGTTTTTTTCCTTTCCTGCGCCCCAGCGTCGGACCAAGTGGCAAAAAACACCAATCTCGCAAACCGAGCCGGGTGAAACCCAAAATTGCCGCCGCCGCCGAACTGAGCAACGCTAAAGGAGGAGGAGGAGGAGAAGGAGGAGGAGGAGGAAGAAGGAGGGGGATGAGGAGGAAGAGGAGGAGGAGGAGGAGGGAGGAGGAGGAGGAGGAGGAGGAGGAGGAAGGAGGGGGAGGAGGAGGAGAGGGAGGAGGAGGAGGAGAGGAGGAGGAGGAGGAGGAGGCGGAGGCAGGAGGAGGAGGAGGAGGACATCACACGACCTCCAAGTCTGTAATCGGTGGTGTGGGCTCTGATTGCACCTTAAGGAGATCAGCCGCATCCTGTAAAAGCGCCCGAGGTACAATTGATTGAAGTGCGATTCCAAGAAACCCCACCACCGATGTTGGAGGCTACGGGTGGCACCGCGGCGAATCCTTTACCGGGTAAGATCTGGCACCAGCTGGATGCATTGATCTGCCCATTTTCCAAATACTTCTGCTCCCAAGCAAAACACATGTCCCAATTCCTTTTAAACAACCTCGTGTTAGTCTGTGTGAGTTTTGTTTTCAACTTGCGCAACTAAATTGCCCCCACGATTGCTTGTCCCTGATCGTTGTTACCCTGTTCGTGTAATTGGGCTGATGACCGTGACGTCACAAAACAGCGGGAGGCCACGATGATGTACATTCAGACCAGGCGCCCTTAAGTCCAGTCCCCGTAGATCGTGGAGCGTAGCCTTGCACAGCGTCGTTTCGTGTCCGATGCGGGGGATGGCAAAGAGAGAAAGAAGAAAAAAAAAAAAAAAAAAAAAAAAAAAAAAAAAAAAAAAAAAAAAAAAAAAAAAAAAAAAAAAAAAAAAAAAAAAAAAAAAAAAAAACGCTCATGTTTCTATCAGGGACCCCCCGTGCGTCTTGATATCTGCCTCAAGCAACGATGATTTCTTTGTGGCGAGAGCCGTCTGCCACTGGCTCCATCCGTACATTTCGCAATTTACCCCAGCGAGCTCTGCTGCACGGAGGCACGCCGGTTCTTGGCGAGAGCCCGTATGGGCTGCGGAAAGATGAGGCAGAATGTTTCGCCCGAGCAAAGGGATGGTCACCAATATTGGCAACGCATCCGCCCAACTGCCACAATATGCTGCAGCGGCACTGCGCATTGAATTCCGCAAGCCAGTGCTACCGCTTGCGTTGACCTTTATATCGAACATAATTCCATGTGTATTTGTGGTGCATTCGCCACGTGCTAGAATTTGTAGTAAATCGCGTTATCGTGGGCGATGGCAAATGGTTCTAGGTTTTTTTGTCCGGGGGGAAAGTTCTGCGAAAGGTAGTCGGGTCGGAGCACTGCGCAATAATAAAGAAGAAACTAAGCAATCTGTAAATACGAGACCTTAAGTTAGATGTTCAACAATTTCGCTTTCTTATCAACAATGGTCTCACCGAGTGCTTGAACGTATGTTTCACTGCCAAATGGTGTTCCCAAGACTTTGATACCTCGCTCTGGGGGCGGCGCATCATATTTCCAAGCGTCAAATGCCACTTCGGCCAATACGGGGTGCAAGGTCCAAGGTGATGCCCCACGCGGCCAACTTGCCCACATGCACATCGATATGGTGCCATTACAAAACGCGCAGCGCGCGAGGGCAAGGCCGCCGCGCACGCGGTGGCGTTGGCCCATTTTGCGCGGGAGAGCATACCATGCGCAAATGGCGAGGGCCACCGCGCGCGCGGCGGCCATAGCACACTGCCTGGGGAAAACGCAACATTGCGAGAGGGGCACGGCCGCCGCGCACGGGGCCGCCATGGCCCATGTTGTATGGGAAGCGTACTCATGACACTGTTCCAGTAGGACGAGAACCACTTATTCGTCGCCCAGAGCACCGTATACATCGACCAGAGCACCGTATACATCGACTCCATTTGTTTACAATACACACGTATGTTCTCTCTCCGTCGATGTATCGGTCGCAATCAAATTTAGGGCGAAGGTCGTTGCCTCCTGCGCGCGGCGACCCTGGCCCCTTGCGCATTGTGATTTTCCATGCGAGATGTGCGTGGGCCGCCGCGCGCGCGGCGGCCCGTGGCCCCTCGCCGCGAGCGTAGCGGCCCTGGTCCCTCGCACGGTGTGTGTTTTTTTTCTTCCGTGCAGGACGCGCGTGAGCTGCCGCGCGCGCGGCGGCCCTGGCTCCATACAAGATGCGCGTAGGCCATCGCTCGCGCGGCGGCCCATGACCCCTCGCGCAGTGTATGTATCCGTGCAAGGTGCGCGTGGGCCGCCGTACTGGCGGCTGCCGTACTGGCCACTCGCGCATTGAGTTGTTCCATACACGATGCGTGTTGGCCGCCGTGCGCGCGGCTGCCCCGGTCACTCCCGCATTGAGTTGTTCCATATGCAGGATGCGCGGGGGCCGCCGCGCGCGCGGCCGCCCATTGCCCCTCGCGCAGTGCGTTGTGTTCTTCCATACAATAATGTGCGCGTCGGCCCATCACCCCTGGCGCATTTTTTCTACGCAAGGTGTGGGTGGGCCGCCGCGCGCGCGGCGGGCCATGGCTTTGCGCGCGTGGTTTTCCATGACAGACGCGCGTGGGCCGCCGCGCGCGGCGGCCCTTGGTGCCTTGCGCAATCTGGATCTTTTTCGTGCAAGGTGCGCATGGGCCGCCGCGCGCGCGGTGGCCCTGGCCCCTCGCGCATGTGTTTTCGCCCCCCCACTGTAATGCGCGCGTTGGCCGCCGCGCGCGCGCGGCTGCCCATTGCCCTCGCGCGCGCGGCTGCCCTGGCCCCCCGCGCATGTGGTTGGATGCGCTTGGGCCGCCGCGTGCGCGGCGGTCCTGGCCACATCGCGCATTGCTTTTTCCATGCAAAACGCGTGGAGCGCCGCGCGCGCGGCGGCCCTGGCCCCCCTCGCATGCGGCGCTCCATGCAAAATGCGCAGGGGCCGCCGCGCGCGCGGCGGTCCATGCCCCCATCCGCCCGCGGCGGCCCTGGCCCTTCGCGCATGTTGCGTTTTCCATGCAAGGTGCACATGGGCAGCTGCGCGGACCATGGCCACTCGCGTACTTGTTTCATGGAAGATGCGCGTGGGCCGCCGCGCGCGCGGCGGCCCGTGGTCCCTCGCGCGCTGCTTGTTTCGATGCAAGATGCGCGCGCGCCGCCGCGCGCGCGGCGGTCCATTGTACACCCGTGCACAATGTTTTTGCCCCATGCAAGGTTTCTTCTTTCATCGCGAACACCAGCGAGCATTGAGCAACGAAGCAGCGACGAGGTGAGACAGAGCGAAACGAGGTGGAACAACAGGCCCTAAGAAGACAGGAGGAGGAGGAGGATGAGGAGGAGGAGGAGGAGGGGGGACCAAACATAACGCGGTGCCAGGTGTGAACGCACATCGTGGCCTTCCGCTGTCTTGCGACGTCGCGGCCATCAACGATCAGGGACAAACAATCGCGGGGGCAGCTTAGTTGCGCAAGCTGAAAACAATAATAACGCAGATTATAACGAGGTTGGGATTGAACCCCACACCACCGATTACAGATTTAGAGGTCGTGTGATGTCCCCCCCCTCCTCCTCCTCCCCCCCCCCCTCCTCGCCCGCCCTCCTCCTCCTCCTCCTCCCCCTCCCTTCTCCTCTTCTTTGCGCCGTAGCCGTTTTGGCTCAAGATGCCTTGCTCCCTCGGGGTCAGAGTGGAGACCTCTGATCCGAGGACAGCTCCCGCCAGCTTCCAGCTCCAGGGGCGCGCGCCCCCCTGGAGTGCCGAGACTACCGCGCGCCTAATGGAGAGCGCGCTGTCTCCGTGCCGCGCCGCGTCAAGAAGAAGGCCAAGGGCAAGCTCCAGAAGGCCGCTCGTGGCGAAGATGCTTGGGGGCCCGTGGATGTCGCTGATGACTCGCATGATGATGGTGCTGCTGCATCTGGCAATCACCCTTCTGGCGCCCATGGCCCTGCCCCTGCAAAGGCTCACGCTGATGGCGACGAGGGGCGCGGTGACGCCATGGAAGAAAGCGACGAGGAGCACGACCGCGACGCCTACGTTCAGCGATTGGCAGGCGACCTCGTCTCCAAGAAAATGGCCGAGCACAGGGATGAGCTCATCAAGGACCTCACGGGTGTGGTCTCCTCGACCGTCTCCGAGCAGGTGCAGAGCTTCGCTTCTCAGTTTAATGAGCATGCTGCTTTTGCTAGCAAGCTCGCGGAAGGAGTCCAGATGCTGCCTCAGCTGGTCCGCGACGCCTCCGAGCAGTTCTGCTCCGACAAGCTCGACCAGTTCCAACGCAAGTTCCAGGCTCAGCCCGATGGACACACTATTCGACTATGCGCTTCTGAACGACGCCTGGATGAACACGATGCCGCTCTGCAAATTCTCAAAGAACAGATTGAAGAGCTCCGCGGTGCATTGGCGCTTGCCGACAAGGCGCCGAAGCCTCCGCCTGCCAGTGCCGCGGGCTTTGAGCGCTCCGTCGACGCCACCATCATTCGCGCCATGGCCTCCAAGTTGGTCGAGCTGGACAAGGTCAAGCAGGCTCTCACGGACTGGGTTGCCACGGTGGGAGTGGAGGCCAAGCACTTCGATATCACCTCCGAGGAGAGCGTCGCCCGCCAGTTCACGATCCAGTTCACAGGCGCTGGTGGCCCAGCCGCTCGTAGGGTCGCCAAGGTCTTGGGCGCCCAACGTATCTCAGCTGGCAATTGGAAGCGTTTCGAGGTGGTGGCCACTGATAACTTGCCAGCCACGCTCCACACCGGCGCTGACAAGAACCCGAGGCAGATCAAGCTCGAGATCCAGGGGCGCAGGATCCGTGGGGCTTTCGCTGACATCGTCAGCGACAAGAAGTGGTTCTTCGACCGCGACAGGGGCTACATCATGGCAGGCTGGGACCCTGTCCTGCGCATCTCGCCCAACCCTGGCAACATCTCCTCCGAGGTCGCCTGGGCTGACAACTCGGCGCAGAAGCTCGGGCCCCCCAAGGATCGTCTGGCCGAAGCTGTTCGCGCGGTGGCTGCACCGCCTGAGGCAGCAGAGTGGAATATTTAGCGGCTCTGCCTCCGCCATTCATGGTCCTCTGGCTGGCGCTCCCTCCTTCTCATTTTCCTCGTGGAATGTTCGCGCCCTTCTTCAGCATCACGCTGCTCATGCCCGTCCCAAGCTTGCCTACCTCAAGCGCCTGGACTTCGCTCGAGGTATCGCCGCCCTCCAGGAGGCGCACCAGGACCAGGAGCAGCTAGCGGACTTTCTTGCCAAAGTGTCTCCGAGGGCTCGTATTTACACCAGTTATTGTGAGGGGTCTGCAGTACGAAGTGGTGTGGCTACGGTTCTTCCTTCATTGTGCGAGTCCTCTGTTCATCACCGGGAGCTGGTTCGGGGTCGCGTTCTTCGAGTAGTTCTTTCATCGGAAGGTGTTCGCATTTTCACTTCAATGTACACAACCCTTTACATTCTCCTGGTCAGCTCTCTTTGGTCACAAAGGTTTTGGCGACTGACCTTTCCTGTGCTCATGCGGACCCGCTCCACAACGTGGTGGTAGTCCACGGCGACATGAACTTTGCCCCTCGGCCCCCTCTGCTTCTTCATCAACCTGATCGCCACCTTCGCGAGGGCAAGGGCCAGCGTGCTCATGCTGCACGTTGGAAGCGGGCCCTTCAGGATATGATGGAGGTCTCCTCGGATGAACCTACTCATTACGATCGGCTTTCGCACTCAGTTTCTATGTTGGACCGCTTCTGGCGCAGCTGGCGCAGATTACTTCCGAGCTCTGTCGCGGGTTGCCCTGAGGCTCTTGCAGATCGTCTTGTGAGCGACCATGCAGCTCATGTTGTTCGGCTCACCCAACGTCTCGCGAAACCTCGGAAGCAGCAGCGGATTCCTCGTCACCTCTTTGAAGCTGTGGGCTATCGACAACAGCTTGAAGCGGTGCGTTCCAAACTCGACTATGCCAGCAAGAGTCCTCCGCGCCAGGTGGAACTTCACAAGTGGGCCTGACGTGAAGCTGCTGACTTTCGTGATAGAGAAGTCACGCGTGCACCTGAATCGCTTCACTCTCTCTTTCTTCTGGCCCGTCAGATTGCTCGAGTAGTTTGGCGCAACGACTTTCGGTTGGCCTCCCTGCTGGTTTCTAATCACTCTTCGGCGGCTGACTTTCTTGACCTATCACGGCACAGAACCCAACTTCGTCACCCTGCTTCTTTTCAGAGCTGGTGTGATGATATCCAACGACGGCATGCTGATCACCTTCGTCGGCGTCTTGAAGAGCAATTTGCGCGGCCTCAGGCCCCTCAGGCTCTCCGGCACCAGATGGCTGCGGTCGAGCGCCGCTCAGCAATTTGGCCCCCCTTGAACCGTCGCCTGGTCCTTCGCGCCGTCAAACACCCCAATGGCACCACACATGCATCGAGTGACTCGGCTGTTATGACGCAGCGCTTGGTTGACCACTGGGCTCCGATCTTCAGGGCGAAGAGCATTGACCAGCAATTGGCGAAGTCTTACATCGAGCAGCACGTCCCACCGCTGGACTTCGCGCGGGCGGCGCCACCGCCCCCTGCTTTGCTTCGTCGTGTTGCCCGCAAGATGCATTATTCGGAGCCTGGCATTGACTCTATTCCGTACTCAGTTTGGGCAGCATCTGACATTGGCCTAAATGTTCTGGCTGAAGCCATGATGTGGATCATGAGTGGGCAGTTCTTGTTCAAAAGCTCAAATGACACGCTCCAAGTATGGCTACCTAAGGGCGAGGAGGTGGACGACTCCTGGGCCATTGGGTGCACTCGTGCCCCGAGCTCGGTTCGTGTCCTGGGCCTCCGCAACACAGACATCAAGCTGATCACGGCGACTATCAACCTTCGGTTCAGCAAGCTGCTCATGGACTGGGCGCCGCGGTCACAGCGGGGCTTCATTCCCAAGCGCAACTTCGGCACCAACATCTTGGAGCTTGACGTGGCCTCCCTAGTGTACTCCAACGCCCCTGGCGCGACTACAGATATGCCTGCCCTCGTCGCGCTGGACTTTGGTGCGGCCTTCCCCAGTCTCGCTCAAGCTTTTATGACTATGGTCTTCCAGCAGATGCGCGCGCCCTTTGCTTTCATGGCGGTCCTGGAACAACTTTACCACATATTGAATGCGCTGGTCATGTTCAACGGGACTCCTACCCTTGCATGGCGTATTTCGTCTGGCATTATCCAGGGCTGCTTTTTGAGTGGATCTATCTACGCAGCGGTGACGGCCTGCTTCCTGTTTGACCTGCAGAAGCGGCTGGAGGCACCACGGTTGGGGTTGGCTTGAGCGTGCGCGGATGATATAGGCTGCGTGGTCAAAAGGCTGTCCGCCCTCAGCATCGTTGCCGATGTCATGCGCACCGCAGAGGCGATCGCCACACTGTCGCTCAAGCTCACGAAGTGTCTGCTGGTTCCGCTACATGCTGCCTTCTCGTCGGCTCTTGTGGCAGAAGTCAGCGCGGCGATTACATCCTTGGTCTCATTCTTCGCGAACATTCAGATTGTCAGTACTCTGGTCTATCTCGGCCTTGTCATGGGCCCTGCTGCTGACGACGATTCATCCTGATTGGCGCCCTCTATCAAGGTCAAGCTCCGCTCGAAACTGGTTGGTGGCAGCCCGATAGCGGTCTCTCGGCTTGCTACTCACTATGCGACCCGTATCACGCCCGTGCTCTCCTACGTTGCGCAGTTAAGGATGATGCCTCCCTGGCTTCTTCGCGAGGAGCTTCTCGCTCTGGCACGCACTTTCAGGGTCCCGCTGGGTGTCTTCAACATATCGGTTTGGCTTCAACTACGCGGTGCAGGTGGCCCGTCTGTTCCTTCGTGGCTGGCATTGAGCTTGGGGGCTCTCAACCGCACGGCACGATCGACGCTACCCACTTTCTGTCATCTACATGACGGGCTCCGTCGCCAACATGAACGCCCCGGTGATCACCGCTCACTCTCGCAGACGGCTTCGACGCGACCTTACCCTCATTTTTGGAAGTCCGAAGCCTTTGTGGACATTTTGCAGCGGGCTGTGGAGGCATCTTCGATCAGGGCTTTTCCAGCGCACACTAGACAACGTCTCACTACCGCGACGGCTGCCGCCTCAGCCTGGCTGGCTGGCAGAGAGAGGGCATTGTTGACCAACGTGATGTTTTGAAGCATTATCTTGAATGTGTTCCTTTCAGGCGGCTGGTTGAGCAGGAGCTTGGCTATTCGCGGCCTGCCTCCGCTCTGGGACGGCTGGGCCTTCTCGGCAATGCTGTTCAACTTGACCGCGTCGTGTTCGACGTTGTCGTGATGTACTACACTTACGCTGCGGCGGCTCATGGCACTAACTCGCACAAATGGTCTCCCTCGGCTGCGCGCCCCTTTGTAAAGGCGGCGGTGCGTACCGCGAAGCTGGGAGCCTTTTCGCCTGCCCGTGCGCCGATGGCGTCGTCGGCTCCAGTAAACCACTTATAGCCAGCATCCTCGGTGTTCTCGGCGTCATCCACATCGTCCTCTCCCTCTGGCTCATCTTCTTCGACGTCATCACCGCCTTCGTATCCGTCTCTTTCGGCGACTACCGATGTCAACATTGTTGCTGCTGCTCGTGCGTTGGAGTCATCGCTATCTGACACGGAGAGCACGCTCCTCAATGGGCCTTTTGCATCGACAGCTCTGGCTCAAGAGACACTTGTGGCCAGCACGCGCGACTCGCCCTTCACCGCTGTCGACAACTTGCGGGCTATGGGGCTCCTCCATGTTCATGCTTGCGTGGCGAGCTTCGCTTGTGGCTCCTACTCTACGCCTACGGCACCTTCATCGTCTTCGTCTTACCCTGTGGGTAACATTGCGGTCAGCAACAACGTGATCGTCGTGGACTCAGAGCCCTCAGCCGACAACTACATCTGCGACACCTTGGCGATGCAGATGTACGGTGCCTCAGGCTCGTCCCCGTCGGCCCCGCCGTCAGGCTTAAGTGAAGCATTTCGCAGTCATGAGTCGTACCAATCGTTGGTGAACACGGTGGGTCGGTGGTCACAAGCTTGGGTTCCGTCCCTCGCCTTCTCTACTCCAGGCAGCGACGTCGACCAGTGGATGCCCTGGTGCCTCCTATATCTTGATGGAGTGCTACGCTACGAGGATTTCGGCGCTTTTCTTCAGCTTGTTCACGGTAGGCCTGGCTTGGCGCTCGTCGTCTGGCGGCATCGGAGGTTTGTCTTCATGGATGGTACTTGGGAGCTGGCCCCCGAGAAAGGTTTCGAAGTCAGCATTGTGAGGCATGGGCCGTTCGTGATGATCTTCGTTTGCTTCAGGTTCGTCGCTGTGGACTTCGCCCCCTTCGGCAAATGGCCTGGCGTCCTGATCTGTCTCGCATGCCCTCTACTGCCCGTGCAGACTACTTGGCGAAGCAGAGCTCTTGTACCTCAGATGGCGGACCTGCTCTTCTCCCACATCTTCACTTACCGCCACATCGTGCCCCACCTGCTTCTCTGTCGGTTCACGACGCGATCGAGGAGCCAGCTCCTGATGAAGACGATATGAGTATTGGGGACGACGGCTTCCCCACCCCGACGGCACTGGGCTTAACCGCGATGGAGGAGGACGCTGGGGCGCCTGCGGTGGCACCTGGCGGCGATGGCCCCGTGCCTGCGCACCTCGATGATGAGCAGATATCGGCGGACGAGCACAGGCACCACTTCGGCCCCATCTTTTCCGACACCGAATTTGAAGCCCAATTGCAAAGTGCTTCCCGACGCTCTCGACTGGACACAGCTGGCAACGCGTCCAGCCTGACTGCGGCGTCTTCAGACGGCACAGCGGTTTCTCTTCCAGCGGATTCCTTTGGCGACGCCCCCGCTCCAGACGCTGCGGACCGCTGCTCGCGTTCATCGAGCTCTCCGGATGACGCCTTCGGTGAGCTGATGGCCAGGCATGGCTTCGGGGTGATCTATCCCAATGGATCCTTAGGTGGCGCCTTACGTGGTCAAGATCCTGAT